GTCCATTAGTGTGCTGCAATGCAAACATAGCCACAATAGGGCCTAGCCTAATGGATTTGCAATATCAGACATTTTTGCCATGCCAATTCTCAAGTTCCCAACTTATGATAGTTTGATCAGTATATCTCTACTAAAATGAAGTGGCCACCCTTCAGTGTAGCAGCCATAGTCCTACAACCACCACCACATTTTAGAATTGTTTTTTTTTTTCTACAAAGCGTTAATAAAAAAAAACACCTGCCACAATCAGTGCAGGCATGGTTCACTTGTGCATTAAACTGCTACACACTATATATTACTTAGGGAAGAAGCTTGGAAGTGCCTCTGGTGTCTTACAGCCACTAGAGGTGCGTTAATACTGCAATGTAAACATTGTAGTTCCTTCAGAATGGTAATGTTTCACATTACAGACTTGAAAACAAAGGGACACTGGACTCAGGATACTTCATTTAGATTAAGTGGTCTGTATGCCTGTAGTGTCCTTTTAAACTGTTTCAAGAATTTCTCCTTATATTTACTGTGTGCTTTTCTGTGGTTACTTCTAAAGGGGTACCTGGAGTAGAGGGGCGGCATGCTCAAACCATCATGACTCACAATATAGGCAGAAAAAAGAGGAAGTCTAAGGGCACACCCAGAACATGCATTTCTTAATAGTGATTCTGCAGTAAAGGCCAAAATATATGCAAAGTATTAATTAAGGGAACAATAAGATTTAAAAAATATTGTTGTAAGTCTTATGACTACTTAATAATTACCCATCTTAGTACATTTGAGAATTTAGTCACACCATATGGCCAAGCACTACTTCAAAGAACCCTGATATTGGTGGGTCCTAAACTAAAGAGACATGTTAAAATGTTTTTGAATACAAAAAATTTAGGAGAAAGGTGCTCACTATATACTACAACGAAAGGCAGCAGACAATTTTAACAAGGATTCCCCAAAACTTGTTAGAAAGGGTATTAAATCAGAAAAAATAAATAGATAGGCACGCCAATATAGATTATAACCCTTATGTGGAATCACAAAAATAACTTTTTTTACATATACATACATATGTCAATAGAATCTTTTTTTGGGGTTCTACAGTATCAAATGTCTCAAAATAAAAGGGACAAAAAAAATAATATTGCAATATGTACTATAACAGGAATACAATATAATGCTATGTCAAAAACACAGTCACACTTTTTTAGAGCTGCAAGGAGCTCTGCTGTATGAAGCATAGACGGTATAATCCCTGTCTCAGGATATATTTCCAGCAGTAGTGATGGTGGATACTCCAATGCATCAGATATGTAGAAAGATAAAAAAAAATTAGAATATCCAATAGTACAGCCAGTATGGCAAAGTGACTGTGCTTAAAAAATAACCTACCTCACATGAGCTAGAGCATGGGCCTGCTCCAGTGTTGTCGTACCTTGGTGGTATAATCCCCACCTGGGATATATGAAGTTAGGAAGCTCATTGTAGCTCTAAAAAGTGTGTGTGTAGCACAGCATTATATTTTATTCCTCTGTTACATATTGCACTATTGTTTTTTTGTCGCTCTCTTTTTGAGATATTTGATACTGTATAAACTGAACAAAAGATTATATTGACATATGTAAAAAAAACTTTTTTTGTGATTCCGCATAAGGGTTATAATCTATTTTGGCACCGCTATCTATTTATTTTTTTCTGATGTTAAAATGGGTGTAGGACCGACCCACTGATATTGGAGTACTTTGAAGAAGCACTGGTGAGCATCAACATGGCCATATGGTGTTTGTGGCTGAACATTAGTTTCCACTTCAGTTGGCTCATGAAGATTGACATCTTTATAAAATTATGCATAGTATGGAGAGAGCTGTGTTAGTACAGCATCCTGCAAAAATATTGATACCTGAATGAACCACAGCATTGATACAGAGCAAAGAAACAGATGGAAAGATGCAAACGAATACTAACATAAGGGGGCTTTATTACATATTTATTATTTAGAATTAATTGAAAATTCATGCATTTGCTATTAATTATGCTTGCAAGATATATAGATGTATATACTATTAATATTAACCATTGGTCTTTTTCGAATATTGTAGATCACATGATTTGTTAAGTATCACAGTAACTCTTTTTTACTCTAAAATTTATAAATATACACTACCATACAGTGATGTCACCACATGATTAGCCAATTCTGATATTCTGTAAGACACAATTGAGCACTTGGATGTGTCATGAATCACCCTCCATCCAGGTGCTGCCGTGACACAAGAATTGATGTTGTGTGTCACTCTGGTATCAGCTGCAAGGAGGACCACTTCACTCCTTGGCACCTTATACCTCCCTGAACATTTTCTGGTACTTCATTACAGCAACAGCAGCCCATTATGTTTTGCATTATTTCTAACTCTGGTATTGAGACTATTTAAAACCATGATTTGGTTTGCTCCTTGCTCTGTTGTGGCTTTGTTACTTGTGAGCACATTCTGTTTAAGTTTCTGGTTTTTGACTTGGCTCTGTTCCTAATTTTTTCTGATTTCTGTTCTCCTTGACTGTGACTTGCTTCTCTGTGCTACCATGTAAACCTTGATTCCGGCCTGTCTCTGACTCCTTTCTCTCATAACGTCAGCTCAGCCATGCTAAGGTTGCCTGTATATATATTTGATATATGCCTCAATTTCTCTGTTCTAGATTGCTCTATTACATGTTTTGGTGACAGACATTTCCAGCTTTAAACAGTGATTCCCATTCTTTGCTTACTCTAAGGATCTTGTATGACGAATTTCCTGAAAAAAACCATCTCATTACTGTGGTTTAATTAGGATATACTGAAAAAGTCAAGCAGCCATAGGCTCAAGCTTTTATCATAACCTTCACATATGAAGGTCGTGAACCTAGGCCTCAATGCATCAGAGATGATTAAGATCAGGTGTAGACAACATGGGATGTAGGAGCGGAAGATTACATACTCCAAGTAAATAAGGACCTCAGCATAGTCTAAACATATAAAATACCAGGCTTCTGAAACTGCATCAGGTTCAGATATACATGTTTTGTATTTTGAACTCTAACAGACCCAGACTAATCACATTTTCAAAGTCATGCATAATAGGTTTAAATGATAATAGTAGTTATATGACTAAATACAGAGAACTATGGGTTGTGTTCCAAATAAAATATTCCAAACCGTGTCAGCTTTGTTTTTCTATAAACTGAACTTGTTTTTTTTCATAATTATTATTTCATTTTCCATTTTAAAATTTAGTGAAATATTGTATTGCTTTATAAACCATAACAATGATTATGACATTAACTCATCAGTTTCTGTAATATACAAATACTGCTCCCCTAAACAGACACATTCAAACATAGGTGCATGTAGATGCTAAAAATGTATATTAGAGTAAGTCTGTCAATCATTTTCATCTCTATATTTTGTTCATAGACATTGAATTTCACTTTTACTTGAAGTCTACTGTTTAAATCCCAGTGTCATTGATGCTCCGGGGACCATGATTAGGCAATCTGCTTGTGCTGTTATAAGGGTGGACAAAGCCCTCTATTGGTGCAGAAGCAAACAGGAAGTTATAACATCATATAAGATGAAAAAAGATTTTCGGGAATATATGTTAGAGATCATGAATGTGGTAGTTTATATTAGTAAGGGAATAATGTAGTGTGCTTGATATTAAATAATGTGATAAGGAGGTTCACAATTAATATCATGGAGGCGACTGGGTAGAGGGGACTGATGAAGACTGATTTAGTGGAAGAGTAGGAAACTATTGCAGAGGAGAAGAAGTGATTGATAGAGTGTGAGGAAAGGTATAAAAATAATGATAAATGATAAAAACTTAATTTCAGAACTAGAAATGGGAAATTGAGAGAAACAGAAAATAAAGTGGGATCTGGAAGGGAAGTGAAAGAAAGATTGGGGGACTGGGACAGATATAGAGATAAGTGACTCTAAAAGGAAAAAAAAAGTAGAGTGTGCTAAAATAGTTATGTGATTGAAATATGTAGGGGGTATAGAGAGTTGGTGTAGAGGGGAGAAGATCAGTTTTTATGGAATGTACAAAAACCTTTATACTTAGGACATTAAAAGACTGGAAAGAATAGAATGGAAGCATAAATGGAAAGAAGTGGAAACTTTAACTGGGAGCGAGCAATGAAGCAACTAAAACAGGAGAGAGCACTAACATCAGGGAAGGTGAAAAATGAGTATACAATTATAGTGAGCCTTTTCTACTAGTCTTTATAACTGACAAATTTGACAGAGGGCCTGACTCTGGGTTATTGGGAACAATTCTTAATTCATTCTTTACCAGGTAATATAATTTAATGTTGGAAAGCAATGAAATTCCATGACAAAATGTCAAAGATGATATAATTCTTTGTTATGCTCTTGGCTACCTGTTTTGTATAATTTGTTCCTCAGCTAGTCTACCGAATCAGTGTTGGCCCATACCAAGTTAGGATGTGAGTAACAACATGATATGCTTACTCACTTTTAAACAGCTGTCTTGCAGAAAGAGAGCCCCAGTCATTCTTATTCAATAGATGCTGAAAAGTAATTCGATGTGGAATCCCATCGAGTTTGTCCTTTGCTTCCTGCCTTAAGTTAGGTTTCTGCTATGTTGATTTACAGCAAGAATACAGACACATTGGTCTCTGTGTGTGTGTTTAGTCATTCAGTCATGTCTGACTCTCCATGACCATATGGACCATAGCACGCCAGGTACCTCTGTCAGCTACTACCCCTCTGAGCTCCAACAACTTCATGTTCGTGGCTTCAGTGACCTTATCTTTCCATCTGTCATCCCCTTCTTCGTGTGCCTTCAATCTTTTCCAGCATCAGAGTCTTCTCTAGAGAATCATGCCTTCTCATTATATGGTCAAAACATTTGAGCTTCAGTCTCATGATCATAGCTTCCAGTGAAGTTGGTCTTGATTTCCTGTAGTACGGATTTATTGGATCTTCTTGCAATCCAAGGGATTCTAAGCAGTTTTCGCTAACACCACAGTTCAAAGGCATCAATTCTACGACGCTCAGCCTTCTTTATAGTCCAGCTCTCACATCCGTATGTTACTACTGGGAATACCATAGTTCTGACTATGCAGACCTTTGTTGATAGTGTAAGATCTTTAGTTTTTACCAGCTTGTCTAAGTTTGCCATAGCTTTCCTCCCAAGAAGCAAACGTCTTTTAATTTCATGACTGCAGTCACCATCTGAAGAGATCTTGGATCCCAGGAAAATAAAATCTGTCACTGCCTCCACTTCTTCCATATCTATTTGCCAGGAACAAAGATTGCTGTTTGGCATGATCTTAGTCTTTTCAACGTTGAGCAGCAAGCCAGCTTTTTCACTCTCTTTTACCATCATCAATAGGTCCTTTAGTTCTTCCTCACTTTCAGCCATCAGAGTAGTATCATCTGCGTATCTGAGGTTGTTGATATTTCTTCCAGCAATATTGACTCCAGCTTTGGATCCATCCAGCCCAGCCTTACACATTATGTTTTCCACATATAAGTTAATAAATAAGGTGAAGTAGGTGAAGATAAGGTGGAGATAGCCAGTTTGCCTTCTTAGATTTCATTCTTTTGGGGATATTTTTTCTTGCAGTTTCCTGGATAATATTGCAAAGTTCTTCAGGCATTCTATAGTCCATGTCTAGTCCCTCAAATCTATTCTTTACTTCCACTGGATATTTACAAGGGATATTATTTATGTCGTATCTGATTGATCTGATGGTTTTCCCTCTTTTCTTCAGTTTAATTCTGAACTTTGCAATAAGAAGCTCATGGTCTGAGCCACAGTCAGCGCCAGGTGTTGTGTTTGCTGATTGTATTTGGTCTCTATCATACCCTATATATATATATATGCAATCGGATGGGACAATGATACTGGTTCTCTAACCTATTGCTTATCTGAAAAAAATCCCTTAATGCTGTACAACTTAAACTTAATGTTCAAAGTTTCAAGGTGCCTCTTGTACCATCGCAAGGTAACAGCATATACATATGACTAAATGTTTGTGGTGTGCAAATTGCATGCAAGGAATTCCCTCCATACAGCAGTTGCGCAATTTCGTGATACATTATTTATTAGTATTACACATTATTTAATGTAACTAAAATTCTAAGCCTAAAGATATTAATCAAATATTTATAAATATGGATATTCAACGGCAGCCTTCAAAGGTTGGCACCAACTGGTATTGTAAGCATTTAGGTTCTAAGTGAGTTCGTTCAGAGTTTGTCACTTTGTGATTATTAAGCTATGTCTCTATTTATGATTCTGGTTTAATTCTAACGATGTGACTTAGATAAACTTATGTGGTTTCATCTTTAGTTACTATGTGAATGCTCATATAAATGATCTGTGATGAGTATTTTTGTTCTTAGCTAAGGTTCAGGGTATCCTACTTACCAGCTGTTACTCATGGTGTAAATCATTGGCTCTGCTTCCTTTCTCGCACATAATTGTAATTACAGCTGTCAGGATTCACAGGGCCCCATGAGTTGCACGTTCTGTTTTTTTTTTTCTTCAAAGAGAACATTAGGGAACAAACTGGCAAAAACAGGCGAGATCTGTATCATACAGAAAGTAAGATCAGTAAGAGATGGAGGAAAAGGCAGAAATAAAAGGCAGGAAAGCATAAAAGCAGGTAGAGATAGCAAGAAAAGATTGCCATGAGTTCAATATAATATATAAAAAAACTGTGTGGGGGGAGGGGGAGTCTTTAATTCCAAATGCTCATTGTATTAAATGACACATAAATTAAATAATCTTTCGTTTAAAGCATATGTAAAACAAATATGCTTATGAATATAAAAAAAAATTAAAAATTAAATTTTTAAAATTTAAGTGTAGGACAATTAAAAAAGTAATAATGTAATACATAATGTGAAAAAGACAATATAATGGGCATTATGCAAATCTGTAATTTCTCAATTGACTCAATAAAGGGCAAGTTAGTGAGGTGAACATAGAGTCAGTTTGGGTTATGTTAGAATTTGGTAATCACACAGTAACTTGTATAGGTGTGCTTTCTTGGCCCCCAGGACAAATAGAAGAGTTAGATTATGTACTAGTTAAGGAAATAGCTAAAATGACAATGAAGGGGGAAGCTATCATCATGGGTGACTTTAATCTTCCTGATGTGAACAGGAAAACCAAAATAGCTTCTTGTGCCAGGAGCACACATAATCTAAACTCCCTACTGGGATTGTCTGTAAAACAACTCGTTGAGGAGCCAACTTGTAAGGAGGCCATACTAGATTTAGTGTTAACAAATGGAGATTTGGTATCAGATATTACTGAAGGTGAACGTTTAGGATCCAGTGACCACCAGTCAGTGTGGTTTAATAAAAGAACAGTGACTGAGTCACACCACACAAAAACAAACGTTTTAGACGTTAGAAAAACAGACATTTCTATAATTAGAATATGTGTAAAGGAGTCATTATCAGACTAGAGCAGTTTAAATGGAGTCAAAGAGAAATAGGATTATTTAAAAGTTGCATTACTAAAGGCAACAGAAAATTGCATTAGGCTTGTCAGTAAGAGCAAAAATGACAGAAACCACTGTCGTACTCCTCAGAAGTGGCCAAAAAAGTAAAAAAAAACTAAACGTTAGCATTTAGTAATTATAAAAAACAAAAAACAAAAAAAAACAGTGAGACAGATCTATAATATTAGCCAGAAAGAGGCTAAGCAAGTTATAAGAGCTTCCAAATCATACGCAGAAAAGAAAATAACCCAGTCAGTAAAAAAGGGGGACAAAACATTTTTTAGATACATGAGAGTAAAACAAGTATTAGTTATATTAAAAACAAAAGAAGTACGGTATGTAGAAGATGATAAAGATCTAGCTGACTGCCTCAATTAATATGTTTGTTCGGTATTTACAGATGAAAATGAAGGAAAGGGACCTCAGTTAGCAAAGAGGACAAATAAGTCATTTGTTACATGTGAGTTTACAGAGGAAGAGGTTCGATTTCAACTGTCAAAAGTAAAGACAAATAAGTTGATGGGGCCTGGTGGAATACACCCAAAGTTATTAAGCGCTCATAGTGGTGTAATAGAAAAACCATTAGCGGATTTATTTAACCAATCATTGGTAATGGGAGTAGTCCCAGAAGACAGCAAATGTTGTGCCCATTCACAAGAAAGGTGGTAGGGAGGAGTCAGGCAACTAACTGAGATTCGCGTGGAGTGTTGCCATGGTAACCTGTGGCAATGCTCTGACGGCTGTGGGGCTCGTGAGATTCAGACGGGGAGCTGCTGACAAGGGAAGTGAGAGTGTGGTGTGGGCCTCCGGCTACCTGTTTGTTGCAGAAGGGGCCCGCAGCAGACTCTCACTTCCTTTCAGCTCCCCTGTCTACCTCTCGTGGCCTGTGGGCCACGCGGAGTGTTGCCATGGCTCTGACGGCCATGAGACTCGCAAGATTTAGACAGGGGAGCTAAAAGGAGCTGCTGGGAAGAGAAGTGAAAGTGTGTTGCGGGCCCCTTCGGCAACAAACAGGTAGCCGGGGGCCACATGTATACATATATATAGCGGAAATCGATTGTCATGCCCTGATGGCGGCCCTGGAGCACTGAGAAGTATATTTTCAAAGGCTTCTCAATGAGCCTCAAAGTCTGTGCAGGGAAAAGAGGGGAATCCCCGAAGTAGACCGGCCGCACAACCTGGGACCACGTGTGTGGTCTGTCAAAATATGACTTACATAGAATTCTTGAACCCCTCAACTGATCTGGGTGACTTTTGGATATGTTGGTCACCCAGATCAGGGTGTAACAATTGTGGGGATATCATGTGTTTTTGGTGTACTTTTGGGGTTTTGTAAAATGTGTTTTTTTTCTGTCTGGAGATAATTGAATTGATAAAGTATCTGACTCAATTATCTCCCAGGCAGAGGGGAGGAATTGTATGTTTGTTATGGGAGTGTTATGCATTTACTCACCGTTCTTATTGGTCTGTGTCTTTGTGTTGGGGTCCCCAACAAGGTCCATGTGTGCGTACCCCTTGCATGGGGATTGTCATAAAAGGCCAGTGTGGCACGATTAAAATTGAGTCCTGCTTTACCCTCAACATAGAGCCTCGCCTCGTGTTTGTAGGGAGCTGCTATACAAGCTATATCACTAGCTCTTATTAGAGCTTTACAGCTATACTCTCTGGAGTAGGAGAGGTTCACCCACTGGAAGCTGGATCCTGGTCTTGGGTCCAGGGTGGGTGGAGGACGGCGAGTCTGGTGCGGTGCTTATGGTCTTCAGCGTCAGCTAGGAAGCATCGGTTGGCGGAGGTACCCGGTCGGGGTGCTAGGTGGTCCGTCACACCAGCAATCTCTGAGTTGTAAACACAGCTTTTTCTGAAAAGTGTTTACATTTGTCCAATAAAACATGTCTAGTGGCTGTCATTCTGGGAGCACCAGAGGTGCTACCTGTCGAGATGCTGCAATCTGAACGCTCCCAATAGCGATGCATTGACATAATGCATCTGTATGAATAGGTGCTAATTGGTGAAGAGTATTAAGGGCAGTAGCTCCCCAATGCTTTGAATTGTTAGAGACCATCTGTCTCTGTTAATGGCAACCAGTGGTAGCTGCAGCGAGGAGTGAAGTGGGACTAAAGATAAGTAAATCTTCATTATTTTAGTATTTAAGGGGATTCTAAATCTAGATAGTAAAGAACTACCTCTAACTTTAGAGTGTTCCTGTAAAGTTGACTAATTAACCATACTCTTTGTGTTGTTATTAAATATATTAAAACAAGGAATTTCCAACTTGAACTGTATGAAGTAATAAGTAATAAAAAGACAAATCACCATTGTTTTGAAATAAGACCATACAAGCATTCCCTTGGTTTCTGTTATACTCCTGTCTGATTGTGTATTGTCAAAGGTTGCTTTCCATAACTCTACCATATACTAAGGCCCTCGTCTCACTCATAGCCAAACCTCAACACTTATATTGGGACATTTAAGATATTCAATCTGGAATAAAAAATGAAGTCAAGTAAGCTGTGATATTGCCCTCACAAGTGACAGCTTAATGAATGCAGCCTTTAGCTATTGTCTATGTGAAATATTTAAGACTTGTCAAAACAAAAAGTGAAAAACTGAGTGGGTGGATTAATAACTGCAGAAAAGTTGGAAATTCCTGGAAATGAGAAGTACATTATTAATAGTTTATTTTTACATTTTCACGTTTAATTAATGCATTTATTTGTGATATACCGGACTATTTTGCAATAATCCACAAGTTTTACTGTCATTTAGAGTCACATGAGAGGGGAGGCATGAAGGGAGTGTATATTCATTATATCCATGGGTTATATAACAAGTCATTACATAATCAATCCAATTATTACTATTCCGTTAAATTCACAAAGAGCTTTCATGGTAATATAATTAATTTAATTTATATTCTATTAAACGTAGCCATTTCAATATGATAAAAAAAACAAGGTATGGAAATAGAAACCATGAAAAATTTGAATATGTAATTCTG